GTGAGCTAACTGCGCGTGGTTTCTTATCGCAGAAAGACGGCATGAAGCTCATGCCGGTCGGCGGCACTCGCGCGCTCAAGTTAAGGGCCAGTACGCCATGCGAAGAATGATAAGGCGAGTTTTAGAGTTGGACAGGGTTTCAGCCGACGCCTGGTCGAGGAGCTAGGGGAGCAAAAGGCTATGCAGGGAAGCTGAGGTGGTAGAATAATGATGTAGAGCCATTAGCAAAGATAATGTTATGTAATGTACGCTAAGACCAACACGAAGGACTGTTGTGAGAATACGGAAGCTTTGTAGCTGGAGCCTTGCCTGAAGCCTCTGGTTTTAATGTCGCTTTGGCTTCCTATCTGAACATGAATTCCGAGGCTCATTGTGTTCTTCTCACTTAGCGACGGGAGTGACGGCTAAAGCGGAAAACGGGAGTACCTCGCTATGTTCTGCGTGCGAAGGTAAGGGTAAGGTAGGGTTGTAATTAGGTAGACTGGAGAGCTATCAGGAAGGCACTTCGGGCAGCTGGAGGTGCCTGTTTACCTTACCTACTTAGTAGGTACTTCACCTTGAAGCACCTAGGTAGGAGCACCGAGGTGAAGCTTCCCCGCTATGGGTACCCAGGGCGGGAAGGCGGGGGCTACCTTACCTTATGACTGCCGCTACCCCACTGTTGGCTCGGAAGGTAAGGTAGGTAGGCAGGCGTGGCAGGCAGGCAGGGACATGCAGGCAGCAGTGACATTCATTCCATGGTTCCTAACGTCAACAACGAACAAATGAGGGCGCGATCCTACGTGCTGAATGTCTCTCCAAAGGTGGGTAAGAGACCCAGGTACTTGACGTGGGACTTTGGTACGATCACTTCACGACTCCAAAAGCGTAGCAAAATTGTACATTGGCTGAAACTGTCATTGATCAAGAGGGCCCGCACGAGACTTTCTTAAGATTCCTCTGGATACTACTGCGTAGTACGTTGCTCTTCTCATCTTCTTCCCAAACAAGAAGAGTGTAACTCTCGGCCACCAACGTGTCGGCCTAAACGTGGCCGCTGCTCTTCTTGGGAGAACGAACCACACCGAATCAACGTTGAGTCTCACGCTGACACTGAAGTAGAGGAGGAGGGTCCAAAGCACCATCCACCTCTACTTGAACTCCATGTCGAGTACCGAGCTCCAGGCAGGGTCACGGGTTGCCAAGCCTGCCTTTCCTTTCCATCTGCTTATGCCCTTTTTGTGTTCACCTCCTGCTCGAACAGCCACGACCCGGAAAAAAAAACAAGAAAAAAAAAGTACCTTCTCCAAGTCGGTTGACTTGTGAGGCATGCTTCACCTCACTTCTACAACCCCTCCGCCGCATCTCCCCTTCACCATCTGGCTGCATTATCATCGTACTTTCTCATTGTTGGTGACTTGGCCGTTGGAAGCTAACAAGCTCCTTTCGGAAATCTACCCAAGTAGCTCCTTCTCGTTTGATCTCAACCTTTGCGACCCCATTGAAAGACTCCCGCCGCACGCCCCGGGTACAGGAGCCTTAGGTAGACTCACCTGCATCAACATCTGACTCCTCGAGGCCTTGCTGCCTGGACAAGGCTGCGCAACCTCTCTACCACCCGGTGCGCCTCATTTACGACACCCAAGACGCCTCAAGTAATTGAACCTCTTTTCCTTCTTCCTCTCTCGGATATTCTACTTCATCGATTGCGCATCACCATCCGTTTCGGGCCTCTGCAACAGACCTGCTGCATCCTCCGCGCTTGCTCACATCGGCATACTTTACCAGGCGCCCGCTGTCCAACTACCTCGCACATTCACGAGCATCCCTCCTGTCGCCTTCGACGTCGTCTTCAAAATGGACGACTGGGATAGAGGCATTCCTATGGAGCCACCGTCGGGTGACGATCTCCCTTCTTCTTGGGATCAATACGCTCCCGACCACGATAATGATAACCATGGCATCGCAAACAACACCGACGAGGTCAATATCTATGATTCCTTCGATACGAAAGATACCGTCGAGGACGCCGACACTACGCACGACAACCTCCAGGACGACCTCGATAACGGGTCCGGATCACAGGAAGATGTTTACGCGCCGACTTCCCAACCCGCTTTCACTCTGAAGGCCGACATGACGCATGTCGAGCGCCGCCGCTATTCTCAGTTCCTTATTCATGATATTCGAAACGAACTTTCAGACGGAGACACCCTGGTCTTTGTTGACTTCCCGGCCCCTACGAAGCCTGCCGATAATGTCGACTGCTTCGTCTATGCCTGGAACTCGGTGGAGTTTCGCATGCACTCTGAGAAGCTCAAGGCAACCGGATCATCCAAGTTTGCTGAAATGCTGAGTCCCACGTACCAATACCGCATTATGCGTCGGCGAAAGCTGGTCAATAAGCTCCCCGACGGTATCAAGTTCGTCCTCGATCTGACCCCACCATCTGAGGGTGACGATCTCGTATTCCAGATGACCGAAGTCTCCCTGACACCCGGCATCATAAACTGGTGGATGGCGTACGACAAGTACGGCACTGACGATTACGTTGTTTCTGGACACGATGACATATGTGGTTGCTGGAAGGATCCTCAGCCGGAAGACAGTGATAAGGCCACTGCAACGGCAAAGCCAGGTTCCACGCCCAACGGCATGGTCTCACGTCAGATCACAGAGAAGACAGATGTTGCAATGGAACGCGCGATCGAGACAGCAATCGCACAGAGCCTACGAGAGACTGGTCCACAGACTGCAAAGTCCTCGGAGAGGGCATACACATCCACCAAAGGAGCCGCTGCTAGGTTGCTGGAGAAGAAGTCCAAGAAGGATCTAACACCTGAGCCGGTTCCGTCATGGCGTCGGATTCCTGACTACTGCGCTGTCCGCCACCGCGTGAACATCCTCCGCCTGATGTACATGATTTCCGACAAGCGAGTCCTTGTTGACTCTGCCCCTCGAGTTTGGACTTTGGTGGCTGTCGCGAAGATTCTGGATTGCACGCATGTCGTCGTAAGTCCATTCCTAAACATCGCCCCTGGGAGACTCTGCTAACAAAAAGCGTAGCGTGACCAGGTTCTTCAATGGCTCATGAGCGCTAACAATACCATGTTCATTGAAGTTCTTCCTGAAGAAAGCTTACAGATTGGTGTAGCCTTACAGTCAGAGGATGTCACCCGTTCTGCATTCCGAATCCTGGTCAATGAGTTGGCCATCGAAGAAGCTGCTGCTCCCAATGGAGTGCCCAAGGCCGCCACTTACACAGTGTTTGGCCGCAGACGTCACGATCCCGGCGACGATCTCAATAACCTCATTCAGCATGCTGCTCGAGCCATGGTTGAGCGTGTCTCGCGGCCTGTAAAGCAATTGATGAGCGACACCATCTTCGATGACCTGCAAATACCGGAGTGGATTCGCCTGAACGAGCTCATCGTCATGTTCTCGAGCCTTCCCGACGATCAGACCTGTCTAGCAGCCAAGGAGAAGGCCATTAAATTGGCCGAAGCCTTGAAGAAGGTTTGGAAAACCCAGGTGGTCATCGAAGTAATCGGCAAACTGCTGGACGCCGACCGGCTGAACAGAATTGACGATCATCGCGCGACTTACGTCGATATCCAGCACTTCAATCGTTTTGAATTGACGTATAACTACTTCAACGACGTCCAAAAGGCACTATGTCCTTTCATATACGACAATATTAGGGACAAGTGGGGAAATTTGACGTGGACTTTCAACTTATTCACGGTCGGAACGAAGAACCTGAACTTCTATCATTTGGCCACCGAATTGTGGATCGCCACGCAAAATGTACTCACCAGTCATCCTTCCTTCAGACGCGATCCGGCTTGGAGGGCAGTCTTGAATCTTGGGCCGGGGGGAGCGTTGATGGTTTCGCAACACGCCTTCGATCCGGAGTCTTTCCAAGAAAATCTCAAGTCGCTCCTCTACCCATTCAGTCAGGATTCAGTTCGCATCGGATTTGAAATCCCCATGAATATGACCGGTCATCTTCTACTGACCCTGACGAACAATGAGTACAAGTTCCTCCCTCTTTGGGCCGGTGGAAACGACGACGGCACGGGCGGTGTGTTTGAGCCATCTCTTCCCCCAGCCGAATATGGGCCGGCAGGGCCTGGACCGGCTTACCACACTGGAATCTCGATTGCATCAGATGCGTCGAGCACGGCTGGTTCTGTGAGCAGCGTCTTGAGAGAGCTGCGTTTGGAAGGGGGCAGTAGCGTAGGACCCGGTAGTGTGGATGTCCAGGACGGCATATCCACGGTCTTCAATCGAGGCAAGGTCATAGCCGACGATGTCTCAATGCGCTCAGAGTCTTTCACTGATGGCGGGTACGATTTTACCGACGCAAAGTACGCCATTCCTACAGATGGACAATCTATCGCAGTGGGTGCAGTCGTGCTCGACGAGACTTCTGAGCAGTCGGATGCCGACACGTTGAACTTTGAAGACGAAGATGTCGATGGCTTGGATGAAGTCATGACCGAGATTGGGCCGGAAGAGAGTCGGTCTAGGGAGGTAACCCCTGAGTACATCGTCGCTGCAGGGTCCGCGACGGAGAGTCGCGGCCTGTCCGCTTTGCACAATGACGGCACAGAGACTGTTTCTACGCCGTCGGTCATCGCTACACTATCTGTCTGCTCTGCGGATGAGGGAGACGATGATTTAATCATGGTTTAGGGGAGTAATCGGGGATAAGGTTTTGTTACGGACTTTTTGGCGTCAAGGAGGGCAATAAATATTCTGGGTGTGCCATCATCGAGATAAATACGCTTGTAAACACGAGAAAAGTTTGAGGTTCAGGAAACAGGACGAAAGTCAATGACAAACAGGCAAATAGGCATTACGGGCTACTTTATGTCAATGCGGACGTCTTAATTTTTGAATTGATGGCTCACCAGTGAGCTGGTGGCGTTGAATCGTGGTATTTTCCCTTTTGATCTATGCGCAAACTCCCATCCTTCCTATATGTACTCCAATCACCGACCCAGATTCGCTGGCGCTCAGCCCCGATTCAGCGTGTTTCCTGAGCCCTTGGGGTTCGCCTCGACGAATTCATCCCAGGCTCTCGCCTTCATCGTCTCTTCGTCCGCCTTGTCAAAGTCGTCCTCATCCGGCTCTGGCCGGTGCCAGCTCGCGTCACCCCCGCCCTCGATGATACCACCTCTCTCCCGCTCTACCTCCAGGTACTCGTCGATGCTCATCGTCGGCAGGTTGTGACCGGGCCGGAACACGTTGGCGGCCATCTCCTGCCTATTGCCCACGAGGGTGAATGGCTGCAGTGGCTTGCCCTCCTTCGTCAGCAAAGGGCCGCCTGGCTGACCGAACATGCTGTGCAGCCGGCGCGGCGCTTCCAGTCGGTCTGTGAAGCCTTCGGCAGTGCGACTCTCGGCGCGGCGGCGGTTGTCCTCCTCGACAGAAGTCGGAGACGGCATCAGCGGTACCGTGGCCTGCGCCAAAACCTCCAGCTCGCGGTTGATGCCCTCCAGGCCCTGAAACGCCATGTGCGTAGCATACGCGGCGTGCGCGAGGTGCAGGTCCCGCACAATCTCGTCGTCGCCCTCATCGTCCTGGTACCGGGGGTCGCGACGCAGCGTCTCGAGCCGCTGCTTCAGCGCCCGCTCGGCTTTGAAGTTGGCAATCTTGGTGTCGCGGCGCTTCGCGGGGTCGACGCCTCCCAGGGTGGAAAATGCGACGGAGTCGTCCGTGTACCGTGAGTACAGCTTCTTGTTGTCCTCGCTGAGGAGGTCGTAGGAGTCGAGGAGTCCGAGGAAGGTCTCGTAGGACTCGCGGGCGCGCTCGAGATTGACCCGGCGCTCGATGGGGCGGCGGGAGGGAGCCTTCTGATGCAGGTCGGCGAGATGAGATGTGATCATCAGGTATGGCAGAGATGAGGTCGGAAGATCCTCAAGGAACTCGTTGGGGGAGAAGAGGGCGGCGCGAGAGACGATCTCGAGGCAGGCCTCGTACTCGGCGATTGCGGTGCGCAAGTCATCGTGGTAGGTGGGAGAAGAAGCCTCGTAAGAGTTCTCGAGGGTGTGCCGCTTCTTCTCTGCGGATGCGAAGACTGATTTTAAGGTCTGGGGTTGATCGTCGTCGGACATTCTTGCGATCTAACGATGGCGAGGTCGTCAGGGTGCGTTCGAGCGGCGGTTGGGGGGGGGAAACACGAAGGCGCACGAGTTAAATATCCCTCGGGTCTCGGGAGGCGCTGATCCCGTGTAAGCTCCAAGTGGCGACCGAGTCTTATGGTGGCGTGTGACGGTTTGAACTAAGCTGGCTAGTACTCGACAACAGGATCTTGATTGCTTGGGCAGGTGTATCACGAGAATAATGGCGACCAGACGTTTCTCTGATGGCGACGGCACTCTGTTGGGTGCCCCGCTCCAGGGTCTAGCTTCTTATCTTATCTAATTTCCATACAGGGGAAGGTGGTGGGGTAAGTGCAGGGGTCCGGATGTAACTACCTACATTTTGGCCCTGCATGGAATTAGGATGGACGACTTGAACTCAGCAGACGTGCCACCCGTCAGTGTAGGTAGGTATGTATGTATCAGTTGATGTTTATTAGAAGAATCAGGCATATTGCTACATGCTCAAGCTTTCGCATGTTCTTCCACTCCTTTCCTTCTTCATGTCACTACAATATTCGCCAGAATGGCGCAAGCTCAAGACCCCTTTCCCTTATTCGTTGGACGTCTTGCAGGGGTGCTTCAACTTGCACCTTGATCACGATCAATGGACACTGGCTCATCACAAGCAGGATGTTGATAGAATCACCCGGTGGGCAGAGGTAACCTAAGAATTTATGTATTCCTTGAAGCCATTGGACCACAATAGGCTCGTTTTGTTCTAACTAGTTTTGTCCTGTTTGCTCATATGCTGCTTCCCGTAATCCAGAAAAGTATCCTCACATTGTATGGCAGGGTACTTCCTGCCTTCTCTTCTTGAAACTCCTGCCTCAACTCGTGAATCCTTTTTATCCCCTCTTCAACCCATACCTGCCTTCCTCTTAAGTGCTGAATGCTCCTTCTCGACGACTTCACCAGCTCGGGACCCTTTGGTCTATTTAAGCTGCTGCCTTTCTTCCAGGTCTCCTTCTCACCTCCTCCTCTTCCACAGCCTTCTACCTTTCACCCTTCCACAAACCACCTCAGTGGCCTGAGGCTATACAAGTTCTTCAGAGACTCTGAGGCATAGGTCACCGTGTCTGGGTGAAGCCACATCCACCCTCCTTTGGGGCTTTCTTGACTTTAGCAGTTCCCACAAGTTGTGCCCTCTACCACCTTCGACTTTCAGCACGCTGTATTCTTGAATCAGCAAGAGTACCACCTTCCCATCACGTAGGCGCCTGTGCCTTCCTATACCGACGCAACCTAGGTGAGCACGCATCACTTCTTCAACCCCAAACCTCTTGAGCCTTCCCACTCACCATCTCGCGTATCGTCCAGGACGACATATCTCCGGACATTCTGTTTCACCACAATCGCCAAAATCAGAGACCCTACTCCGAGACACCAACATGCTCGTCAAGAAGGAAGCTCCGGTTGTCCTGACCGACTGCCTTGCAGAAACCCCCGGACCAGCACCTACATCAGTTCTTGGAACTCAGAACACAGAGTCAACAAATGTTGATTCTCAAAGCCAACCGTCATCCGCAGTTCTTCATGACGCTAAATCAGAGGTCTTCGGAGACACGGGTGAAGATAACGAAAATCACAATGAGAACAGTGATGAGGAGGAAGATGTGTACCGCGAGTGGCACCAAAACCCCGCTCAGTCTCGGACAATCTCCCAGAAGGCAAGAACAGACCTCGCAACTCTGCAGAATTTCACAAGAAATGTCCACTTGGACGACAGCCGTGAGAAGGTTTTGGACGAGTTCTCCGCGGCTGGACTTATTATGAAGGACACCAAGCAGATCATTAGTGCTCCTCGTGAGTATCAGATTGAGCTGTTTGAAAGGGCGAAGATGAGGAACATCATCGCAGTCTTAGACACCGGTATGGTTCAAGCCACGGCCACTATCTGTTAGTTGTGTTAACCAGTATCTAGGATCTGGAAAGACGCTTATAGCTGCTTTGCTACTGCAACACGTTCTCCAGAACGAAGTTGAGGACCGTGCAGCAGGCAAGCCCAGGCGCATTGCCTTCTTTCTGGTAAGTGATGCATGTTCATTGCTCATTAGGGCTCAACTAACTCCCAACAAGGTCGACAAAGTGTCGCTTGTGTTCCAGCAACATGCTGTCCTCGAATGCAATCTGGGACATAGCGTGGCCAGATTTTGCGGAGACATGCTCGACTCGATGTGGTCTCACGAATTTTGGGCGCAGCAATTTGAAGAGAACAAGGTTGTGGTCTGCACGGCGGCCATCTTGCAAAAGTGTCTGGCGCACTCGTACATTCGCATGGATCAGATCAACCTCCTCATCTTCGACGAAGCTCATCATACAAAGAAAGACCATCCGTACGCACGTATCATCAAGGACTACTACATCAAAGAGCCTGACATGGAAAAGAGGCCAAAAATATTCGGCATGACCGCTTCGCCCGTGGATGCTCAAACCGATGTCAAGATTGCCGCTGCACGCCTCGAGGGTCTTCTACATAGCGAGATCGCCACCATACCGGAGGATTCAACCTCGTTGAAAGCCCACGCGCGCAACATCATGGAAAAAGATGTCTTTTACGGCATGCTACCTATGCCATTTGAGACAGAGTTGTACCGCAAGGTAGCTGGACTTGTCCGCCACAACTGCCACTTCGGCAAGGAACTCTTCTTTGCGCGCCAAGCAACATCGTTCCTTGGACCATGGCTGTCCGATCGACTCTGGAAGCTTTTCCTTACTGACACGACGATTTTGCGGTTGACGAACAGAACTGACATGACCTACTATGGCCTCGACATGACTGGCAAGGAGGCGGCAGCCGTGCAGAAACTTCGAGAGATTGTCAAGGATCACGATTTCAGTGAAGTCTTGCCGACACTTGATCACCTTTCAACCAAGGTGCTTCGTCTGTGGGAGGAACTTCAAGCGCGTTTCTCCAAGCCCACCGATCACAAGTGCATTGTGTTCGTTGACATGCGCCTGACAGCCCTGCTTTTGACCGACTTGTTCCGCCAAGAGGCCACGAAACTTCCGTTCCTCAACGCCGAGTTTCTGGTAAGTCCTTCTGTGCTATCTATTTATTTTTGAAGCTGACTTTTCCTGGCAGATTGGAAGTCGGCCCGATTCTGGAGCAGCCAACATGTCGTTCAAAGAACAAGTCCTAACCATTTCCAAGTTCAGGCACGGCAAAGTCAACTGCCTGTTTGCGACGCAGGTTGCAGAAGAAGGAATAGATATTCCGGACTGCAGTATGGTCATTCGCTTTGATCTGTACAGGTCTGCGATCCAGTACATTCAGTCGAAAGGCCGCGCACGTAGAGCGGAATCAGAGTACCTCACCTTCATCGAAGGTGGTAACGGAAGACATACCCGAACAGTGGCTCAAGCCCAGTACGACCAGGTCACGATGCGCAGATTCTGCACAGCTCTGCCAGAAGACAAGAAGATCTCCGGAGTCGACATGACAGCCTTGTTTCTTCACGGTGAAGCACAAAAGAAGACATATGTCATTGCGTCCACCGGTGCAACATTGACGTGGATGTCCAGCCTAGAGGTGCTCTCCAACTTCACCTCTTCATTACGTCAATCTAATGACGAGGTGCTTGCGCCAGAGTACGTGGTTGTAAATGAAGGCCAAAAGTTTCTTGCGGAAGTTCAACTGCCGCCAAGGTCCCCGATTCAAACAATGGCCGGAAATCCTCATTCGACGAAACAAGACGCGCGCTGCTCGGCAGCATTTGAGATGTGCAAGGAACTGATCAAGAAGAAGTACATCGATGACCGTCTGCGTCCGGTGTTCGTCAAGAAGCTTCCCGTCATGCGCAACGCCCGACTTGCGGTCAGTTCGAACAAGAAGGCAGAGTACAGGATGCGCTCGAAGCCAGATATTTGGTCAAGATTGGGCCCGGTCGACGTGGTCTACGTCACGGTGCTGAGGATGGGCAATCCCGAATCCGTTGGCCGGGACTCAAGACCCTTGATTCTTGTCACGAGAGAGATGCTTCCTGACCTCCCTCCCATCCCGCTCTTCTTTGGGAATGACCAACAGTCAGATGTCTATCCCGTTTCCTTGCCCACTCCTATCCGGGTGTCTGCAGAAGACTCCGAAGCCCTGAAAGAGTTTACCTTACGCATTTTCAAAGACGTCTTCAGCAAGCAGTTCGAGGCCCCAATTACTGACGTGCCGTACTTTCTTGCCCCTGCCACAGTCTATCACTCGGCAAAGCTTTCTGAAGTCGACGATCCAGCTTCGTTGATTGACTGGGAGCATCTTCGCTCCACGCAAGGCAAGGAATTTTTGGACTGGGACGCAACCACGCCAGATGATTTCTTCAGAGACAAGCTCGTCACCGATCCCTATGCAGGATCTCGCAAGTTATACTTGCGTGGTGTTCGAAAAGATATGAAGCCCTTGGACATGGTTCCCAACGGAGTCCCCGACCCTGGCCACAGATCATGGCGAGACGCCAACGTCGAGAAGAACATTACCGAATACAGCGTCAGTCTCTGGGCGAAAAGCCGCAAGAAGTTCACGTGGCGTCAAGACCAGCCCGTCATCGAAGCCGAAGTTGTCTCTCTGAGACGAAATCTCCTTGACGATTTCATCGAGACCACGACCGAGGAATCCAGAATATGCTATGTCATTTTGCAGCCTCTGAGAGTGTCAACTGTAAGTGCTCTACTATCATAAGATGTAGGGATTTGACTAACACTCGCAGCTTCCAATTGAGACAGTAGTTCTGGCATTTGCTTTCCCGGCCATTATCCATCGCATGGAATCTGTCATGATCGCTCTCGATGCCTGCAAGCACTTGAATCTCACCATTCGCCCGGACCTGGCACTCGAAGCCATGACGAAAGATTCCGACAACAGCGACGAGCATGACCAGGAAAAGATCAACTTTCAGAGCGGCATGGGCAAGAACTACGAACGGTTGGAGTTTCTTGGTGACTGTTTCTTGAAGATGGCCACGACGATCGCCATCTTCACATCCAAGCCTGACGATGACGAGTTCCAATACCACGTCCAGCGCATGCTCCTCATCTGTAATCAGAATCTTTTCAACAAGGCAGTTGATAGGGGCCTTCAAGAATACGTGCGGTCTCAGAGCTTCGACCGCCGCAGCTGGTACCCCCAGGGATTGAAATTGATGAGGGGCAAACAGGGTCAGCCTGCGAACAAGCATGCTCTGGCGGACAAGTCTATCGCTGATGTCTGCGAGGCTCTCATCGGCGCCGCGTACCTTTCATACGCAGACTCTGACAACTACGACATGGCCATTCGTGCTGTGACCGCCATGGTCAAGGAGAAGACCCATCGGATGACCTCCTGGGGTGATTACGTCGCTGGGTATCGGCATCCTGAATGGCAGGTCCGAAAGCCAACCCCAATCCAGCGCGACATGGCCCAGCAAGTCGAGGAGTCGATGGGATATAAGTTCAAATCTCCTGCTCTACTCCGGAGTGCTTTCCATCATCCTTCGTATCCCAGGGCATACGAGAGCTTGCCAGACTACCAGCGTTTGGAGTTCTTGGGTGACGCGCTTCTTGACATGGTCTGCGTCGATTTTCTCTTCAACAAATTCCCCAACGCAGACCCGCAGTGGCTCACAGAGCACAAAATGGCCATGGTCAGCAATCAATTCCTCGCCAGTCTGTCTGTGAAGCTTGGCCTTCACAAGCATATCTTGGTGGGTACATCCGCGATGCTGAGCCAAAAGGAAGAGTACGTGTCCTCGCTCAACCTGGCAATGGCAGAGGCGGAATCTGAGGCCGAGTCGGGGATGTTTTCTCAAGACTATTGGATCAACGTCAAGCACTCGCCCAAGTACCTTTCCGACGTGCTGGAGGCTTACGTTGGTGCCGTCTTTGTCGACTCGGGCTACGACTACAACGAGGTCCGCAAGTTCTTTGACAAACACATCCGACCGTTCTTCACTGACATGTCGCTCTACGACTCATTCGCCAAGAAGCATCCCGTTACGAGACTCAGCCACTTGATGGAGAAGGAGTTCAAGTGCACAGAGTACCGAATCATGACGACCGAGGTTGCACCCCCGGCAGGAGAAGGGGCTCGCGTTCTTACCGGCACCAATGTGCTCTGTGGGATCATTATCCATGGAGAGGTTCGATACCACACTACGGCGGAGAGCGGACGATACGCAAAGGTTCGAGGTGCAGAGCGGGCGCTTGCTGAGTTGGATGGCCTGTCTGTTGATGAGTACAAGAAGAAGTTTGCATGCGACTGCAAGGGAACTGAAGGCGAGGAGACCGGGGCGATCAATCATGGCACTGCAGTATAAAGTGCAGGGATGGAGGGGGGGACGTATTTGGCAGGGAATTTCTAGGAAAGGGGAATGACGGAGTCCAAGTTTGCTCTCGAGGTTCGTGCGTGGTGAGACGGTCTCATCGAGGTAGGCACGAACAAGTAGATACGGAAAGACAGCGGCAGACTTGCAATCTCAATTTTTGACTTTAAAGCACGCGAGATTCTGGGCCTTGCCAGATGGATCAAATCTGACTTGTGTCCACCCATCAGTTTTGGAACAGTCTCGATTGTTCATATCAAGCAGTCGTCAAGACAGCAGTGAGTGTGGGGGCAAACAGTCAAGCCCAAGTTGATTCGGCTTTGTTGCAAGAATACTAAATGGACAGGCCACGTTCTAGCCAGCCAGTCATCCCCGCCCTCCTTCCTGCCCTATCCATCCCCATCACTCCAACTCCCTTCTCTCAATCCTCCTCCGCCCTCTCGCCGTCGTCTCTTCGCATTTCATAGCATGCGAGGTGCTATTAAACGTGAAATAAACCAAGTAGAAAAAAATTTCATCTTTGTATATAAAACAGACCCGTGTTGAAACTCCTAGCTCTTGTCGTAGCTTCCAAGACTTCTTTTTTTCGTTGGGGGAAAAAAAACCTTCATAGTCCGTTGGGGGTATCGTTGAGATTGTATGCATGCTCCTTCCAATTCCGTTCCGCTCTCCCTTCTCCGAGGCTTTTGCGCTGTGATGTGAGGTTTGAACTCATCGCCTGACGAATTCGGTATGAGTGTCTTTTTGTTGAAAAAACACAAGTTGAGCCCCCTTTTTTCCATCCTTGACCTGTTGAAAACGCCGTTCATGATGCATACTTAATAATTTTGTTAAGGGGGTTGAGTAAATTGAACAAGAATCAAAGGTCACCTAAGCGGTGACAGCAGCACCTGTGGTGCCGTTTTGCAGTTCCGTCTCCCCATTCGCCTTGGGTTCAGAAGGGATATCGGTGTATTCCTGGACGGAAAGACCATCCAGCAAGTCGAAAAGGGCAGTCTTCTGGTGGAAGTCGTTGTTGACTGGAGAGCAAAGTCAGCTTAATCTAACACATGTTTCCAAAGTCATTCAAACTAACCGATGTTGATCAGGTACCATTCGTTCATGATACGATCGATCAGTACTCTGCTGGGAGTTCCGGCCTCAAAGCAGCGAGCCCAGTCGGTGCCAAGACGGAAGGCCTCGTCCTTCCATGCCATGAAGCTGATGCCCTCGACGATGGTTGGTTGCACAATCTCCTTGCCTGGGAACACACCCCAGGTGACAGCGTTGGGGCTGTCGCTAGACGCGTTGTATGTGAGAGCACCGTTCTTGGTAGTGGCGTAATACGTCATGTCGGGGTTCTTCTCAATGCGAGCGACGATCTCCGGGAACAAGTCGGGGTGAACCAGGAGTTCAAGGTAAGCCTTTTGGTAGACGTAACCGTTCGGCGGACCCCAGCCGTGAACCGGGTGAGATGACTTCACGCCGTCGACTGCAGGCTGCGAGTTGATTGTGAGTAAGCCACGCTTATTGAGGCCAATGAGCTCCTCCCTAATACCGTCGGCTTCGCTGGTCAGAGGAGCCTCACTCCAAGGGAGATTGTCAATTTCGGTTTCGAGGTAGCGGACGAAGATGTTGGCAACGTCCTTGATTGACTTGGGCTCGCCCCACTTCTTGCGGTTCTGCTCATTGGTACCTGTCAGTCCGATGCCATAGGCATCCAGCTCACCGAAGGCAGGCGAGCGAGAGTCACCCCAGCGACCGTTGGGGAACTCGTCCCAGTCCTGCGTGCGCAGCACATAGGACTTATTGCGGCCCTTCCAGAAAATGGGCCGCACGTCCTCCTCCCTACGGCCGAGACCTAGCGACTGCTTCCAGGGGAGAGCGTGCTTCAGAGGGCGTTCAGAAGAGGGCATGTAGTCAAGCTCTTCAAGCACCATTCTCGTGGCCTGTGCAAGGTTCATGGTGTAAAAGTGCAAGTGATGAATACCCGCGGCAATAATCTTCCGGCACATGTCTGCCACGAGGCCTTTACCAATCTCACGTACAGCCACATCGTCGTTCTTGACAGGCTCCAAAGCCGCCATCCAGTCGTCAGGAACCCGGCAGTTCATGTGCTTGGCGCGGCGAAGGAAACTGGCGTAGGTGGCAATCGGCATGATGCCAGGGATGATGGGAATGGTGATGCCGCGTTCGCGCACCTTTCCAACCCATCGGATGAAGTTGTCGGCGTCGTAGAACATCTGGGTGACAATAAAGCTGGCGCCCATGTCGACCTTCTCCTTCAAGTGGTCCAGCAGCTGCTCCTCGTCTTTGTTGTCGTCGCAGCCCTCAGGGTAGCCAGCAACGCCGATGTCGAAATGATCATGATAGGTGGCCCGGATGTGCTTCACGAGATCCTTTGCGTAGCGGAAACCGTCGTCGGTAGCCTCCCACTTCTCATGTTCTCTTGGGGGATCGCCACGGAGGGCCAGGATGTTGGTGCAGCCAGCCTTGTAAGCCTTGCGCAGAGCGTCATTGACCTTCTCCAGGCCCATGTCCGTACATGTCAGGTGCATGCAAGTCTCGAGGCCGTAGATAGATTGGGCCTGAAGGACCATCTCGCAGGTCAGCTCAGCGATGCGGCCGCCGGCACCCCATGTGATGTCGATGAACTTGGGGCCAAAGTGGTACATGCGCTCCATACGATCGTACAAGTTCTGAACACCCTGGGCGGTCTTCGGGGGGAAGTACTCGAATGAGAAGGAGGGCTCACCCGTCCTCCGGGTCTCGTCGAGCATAGCCTTGATGTGCATGTTGACTGTGGTGTGGTACTGAAGTGATGTGTGAAGGGTGGATCAGAAGCAGAAGAGGAAAATGACGGCCGCCAAAGGGCTCTCTAGGTTCGTGGGGTGCTGCGAAGAGAAGACGTTAGATCCAATTGAATAGCACGCAACACGCGCAGACGACCGACAAGGTATAGGATGAAATTGAGGCTATTTAGACGTGGTGTGAAGACCAGATGGGAAGGGAGAACATGGGAGGCGGGGTGGAGAGGCTGGCTGCAGGGACGGAATGTTCGAGGGGTTAAAAGGCGTGTTGAGAGATGCATGGCAGGAGGGCGAAGCAGCGAGACAGAATCAAGCTAGGGGTGAATGCTTACTAGACAATCTCTTCGGAATAGACGTGTGAATTTCTCTCCTGGCACCGATCCCTGGATCTGCAAGAAGGCACAGTCCAAAACTCCAAGGCAACTCAAAGGATCAGGACGTCTGGCAGAGGGTTTGGAGATGGAGAGAAGTTGGAAAATTTGGGGGAAAGAGTCCCGGAGCCTGGGAGTGAAGCGCAGAGCCAGTGGCACAGCACAACCACCCACCATTTTCCCGCTTGCACCCCCACTACGAGCGGCAGCGGCCACTAACAGCGAAGCGTGGGTAAGGGTGCCGCGAGGTACCTGAGGTAGCAAGTAGGTAGGAACGCTGCGTCTCTGCTTGAACCAACCTACCTCAGGTACGTTGCTGAGCTCCGAAGATGGAGGGTCGATGCCCCGCTTTGGCGATTAATTGCAGCGCTGCGAGTACGTAGCGCACCTAAGGTTCCCCTCGGTACGTATCTTACCCCTCCATCATGGATCCCTAGTCGCGTACCTTCCTGCGGGATGTGCGGCAGAAACGCTGGAAACAGGAACTCTGGGCAGGCGGTGACCGCCTCAGTACGCTGCTTCACCGCCAGACCCGGTTGAGGCAGTTGAGGCAGGTCCCTCTGTCCAAGCCTTCCGCCAATGACGCCACGTTCTCTTGCCCCCCCGAAACCTTGGAGTCAGGAAACAGGGACCAGGGCCGCTGTGCACGGAGCGGTCGTCGGCCACCTCCAGCCTCCGGTCAGTGTTTTCTCTCCAACAAACTGGAAGTCTCCAGCTCCAGATACTCGCTTTTCTCTTTTTCTTCCCTTGCCCTCCATTCCCCGTCTCTGTTTCTGTTTCTCCTATCAATGACACATGTTCATGGGTGATGGGGGCGAACGGCTCCTGCAATTGGCTGTTTACAGCGTATGTAACTGCTGTACGCATTCAAGCATTACATACCGTCCGGGGAACGGCGCAGAGACCACCTCAAAATCGACAACACCAGAAGCACGCAATCCTCAGACGGACAGAAACCGGCGCCCTGAGTAGCACAACCTCCACGTTTGTCAAACCAACTATAAAAGTCGCCGCAAAGGTTGTTGGGCAACTCATCCCTGGCTCGTGGGACAATCCCGCGGCTGCAACTGTCAGTCGGTCGCTTGCGTGACGTATTAAACAAAACATTGTCACAGACACCATGGGATTTATCTTCATGCTTCTCTCAATAAGGTTGGCCATCGGGAGCCCTCTTGATACATCGGCCACCCCAACCTCCGTTCCATGACGGCCGACTTCCCCGAGCCCTTTGCGCTTCCGAATCCGACACGCAAAAAGGGCTTCAGCACCGAAATCCCGCACCCAAGTCCAGGACTCCAGTTCAGCGCACGCCAGCCCAACCTAACCTGTCGTTTCTCGAAACAACCAAAAGACACAGGGAATTTTGGTTTCTCACTCCTAGACACTCTGCCTTTACAAGTTTCGAGTTGCATTCAACCGATCACCCACTCCCACGCTCGCTTCCGACCAAGGCCAATGAGCTCCTCCCGTGCTCCTCTCAACCCGCAACTCCATGCACTAGCCCGCCTACCTGCGTGCTGCATGTCGCGCTGCTAACCATTCTCCGGCTACGGCTTCTTGTCCTGGACTGGACGGCTTGCCTTTTCTACTTCATGCGGTGAAGTTGTTGTTGCCTGGCTTCCGTGAAAAAGAAGTGTGGCAACCACTCCGAAGTCAGCCGCGGCAGTATCGCAAGCACCGCGTTTTCCGTCCAACAAGCTAATTAGCGAAGCCGCTGAAAGATCACATGGTTTGAGACAGGTAAACTATTGTAGGTCTATCACACACAATTCGCTCAACTGCCATCAGACACCTCTTCAGCCACACTTCCGGTCTGCAGCTGCAAAGCCGCGGCGCCTCTCAACCGTCGCCACTTATTACTCTGGTCTATAACAGCTCTATCAAAGACAAACCACCACCTCTGGAAAAGTGCCTGGCCGACTTCCCAACTCGTTGCATCGTATGGGTCGGCCCCCCAGATACGCGCTCCCTCACATGAATCCTCCAGGTCGTAAGCAAAGTTCACCAGCCCAAGCGGGCCCCGGGCTGCCGGTGGCCGTGCCGCGTCGGGTAGACTGAACAAGTCAATGATGCGGTCCCGCACCCCCGGCCACGGCAGGAAGTCCATGATCGGATGATGGGGCACAAGAGCTTGCGTTGCCGTTGGTCTCCACGTCTCGGGGAGCAGCTCGGCCGGCGTACCAGCTCCCTGGTTGAACGGCGAGTTGGCCGCAGGGTCCCACATTACCGAGTAGGATCCGAGCCTGGTCGCGATCCGAAGAAGCCCTTTCAGTACCTTGAGGTCACTCATTGGTAGCAGGTAGCTGTCGGGAAAGTCGGGCGAGGTGGGAGGCGAAGACATGGACGACGCCGATCTGCTCATGAGAGATGCTGGGTCGATGGTAGACGCCGAGCTGAACGAAGCTGTCACCGCCACGTCGCCTCCCAGCCCCTGATCCAGCATCGTCGGAGTCATTGTGCCAAACATGAAGTTGCCCGGCATGTCAGTCACATCCGACAGATCGCCGTCCCAGGCCGCAGCCGCGTCCAGACCAAACGCCGCCGCATTAGCGTCCCCTGCACCACCTCTGAGGGGCAGAAAATCGTCTGCAGCCTGAACAATCGGGCTGGCAACGTCTTGGAGACGAGGAACGGCAGGGCGGTCAGCAACTGTCTCAACCAGTTGGGCTTCTGAGCCGCTCCCTTGCTTCTGCTTCGCGAGACGGGTTTGTCTCTTGCGCTCCCCTGTTCCAGATCAGTCACACGTGCCCAGACGCGCAGGGCAAACGTGCTCATGAGGCGCGCGCACCCAAGAAGAAGAAGAAGCGAGGAACGGTGAGCTTACTGTATCTTCTCTGAGCCAATACGTTGAGGACTCTTTTCCGTTCTGAGGCGTCCTCTTCAATATCTGGTACCTGCAAGGACGGAGGTGCCTTGTGAACCCTCTGCCGGGTCCTGGGCCTGTTGTGTGTCGCGGTGGAGCTAGCCGTGTCTGCCATGGTCTTCTTCACAACGATTGGCCCTTGATGTAGTACTATGTGCGATGCGGCAGTATCGAAACGGCAAGAAAGATCGGATCCTTGCTGTGCTCCTTAATGGCCAATTCCGTATCATTTCGACGGGTTGGACCTCTGACATCGTCTCGGCGGCATGTAATTTAAGCATGTTCGTTAACTGGCTGGAGCATTACACTGTGTCAAAAATGGCGTTATGCTTACTGTGTAAGCATAACGGATAAGGAGTACGCGCAAGAAGCGCGCTCCGCCGTGTAGAAACAGGTTCTCGCTAACATTTTCTCAATTCGACGTTCCTCCTCACAGTGTCGGGACATGCCTAGCGTCAGTCAGTAGGAAGAAAGCCTTGCTGCTCTGGGAATATCCAGAGGTCGTCTGATTCAATCCTTCACGATGGAGGGCAACTTTGCATAAGCCTCTTGCCACGGCTTTTCCTTCAATTGATTCAGACGTTGGCAGCTGTTCAAGAAAAAAATCCTCGCCGTCCATGAAAGCCTTCATAGGCTTTCCGGATCCGGAGGACCCGGCAATCCATCCATGACATATGATTTCATGTACTACGCTTTGTGCTGTAGAGAAACTGACGAGTGAGCGCGCATAATGGCGATTGTCTAAGTATCATTTCATTAAGTTTTCCATTGGGTATACGAGTTGATACGTTTGACAAGCTCCTCATCACCGCCCTCTATTCCAGTCCACCTTTTTGATAGCTCGTTGAGCCGGCCGTAACTTTTGATTTTCTCTTTACCCAGTAAACCATCCCCGTATCCTGTGTATCTGTATATGAAATAGTCGTTCAAGTCTTCGTTATTCGCCGCCTCAATGATGCATCAGAATCGATCAACTAGAAGGGCCCCCACCAAGAGGCGCACCGCCGCCCAAGTCCATCCCCATGCTCATCTCAAGACTTGCTAGGTCCGTCGCGCTGAAATCCAGATTTATCTCCTTCAGGATGTTGTTCATTTCCGCGTCGGAGATGGTCAAGTCCATGCCAGAGGGTAAGGCAGCGGTGGAGGACGAGGCCGATAGCTGCGGCTGCTGCTGTTGTTGCTCAGACTGTTTCGTCGACACCCAGCCCTTGAACTTGTCCAACAAGACCTGGTCATCGGCCGCAGTCGTAGGCTGCTTAAGGATAAGCCTGGCCTGCGCGCGGAGGGCGTCGTCGCTGGGGAAAGTGCCCGTGATAGCGAACTCCGTCTCAACGAAGCGGACGAGACCGTCTTCCAGCTCGCGGGCGCAGAAAATGGTCGCCGGCTTCGCGTAGCGGGTCTTGAACGTCTCGAGATATTTGTTGAGGATGGCCGAGTCCGTGTCGAACATGCGCGCGTCCCGGATGGGGACGTTGGCCGACTTGTCGGCGAAGGGGGCCATGTTGCCCTTGGGGAAGGCATACGGAGGCGCGAAGCCGGTGCCGCCCTGTGACAGGGACCAGGAGTCGCCAGGAGGGAGACCTGGACCGGGGTCCTTTGTGATGCCGGCGTCACGCTTGAAGCGTTGCAACCATTCTGCGTTGTCGGCTGCGGTTTGGTTCCATGGGTCGTCACTGGATTGTGGTCAGCATCAAATGTTCAGGAGACTGTGTGAAGATACTTACTCGTCGTATAGAATCCAACGAGCTTGGTGTTGAATCTCCGCGTCGGTGGGGACGTGGGAGCTCGGGTTGTTTGGGGACATGGTGGCTGCAACCCAACGACCGAGTTCTCGGGCAAGACGTCGGTAGCAGTTTGCGTCGTTCAAGAAGAAGGGACCGGTCTTAACATAGGAGGAATTGTTGGAGTTGGAGCCAGCGTAACTTCCTATGGCTGGGTCCGCCATTTGCGGGCAGATGAGGCTGGAAGCAGCGTTGCCGGTGGAAATATGGGATGGCGATGTCTCCGAGACGGAGAGCTGAATTCCTCCTACAGCCAACTGAGCCTCCGGAGAGGTAGTCCAGCTCGAGCCAGAGGCAGAGGGACTGAACTGATGGCGCTGTTTGAAAGCAGCCAACCACTCCAGGTTATCGGCAGCAGTCTGGTTCCAGCCGTCGTCGAACTCGTAGATAATGATACGAGCTTGTCGTTGCAAGTCGGCATCGTCCGGTTCGATTCCCAGCGCCCTCTGAGAGTTCATGTAGTCCGCCAACGAGCGCTCCAGTCTGCTATAGTTGTGGATGGTCGAGTCGACTTTGGTCAAATCTGTCGACCGTTCGTTCGCGTTCACAATGTCTTCGGTTCGGGGGAGGTGTGCGCGCTGTCGGAAATTGGCCAGCCAGTCGGTCGAGGTGTAGATCATCTTAACGAGCCAGTTGGCGATGAAATCGGAGGGAGTGGTCGAAACTTCCTCGATGCGTCCCACAATCTTACAAGCCTCTTCCTGGAGCTCTTCGTCCATGGCGGTCAGGCCCAACAGACGCTTCGCTCTGACGAATTCGTGAAGCTGATTTTCGAGCGGGCAGACCTCGAACAAGTTGTCCTTGCCGTTAATTTTCAGGGTGGACAGTCTGTTTTCAATCTGCGAACGCATCGGACCGAACTTGGCTTGTCGCATGATTTCCTCCGTCGACATGATCAGATCACGCAGCCATGAGAAGGGGTAGGAAATCTCTCGGATGGACAAGACTTCAGACGCGAAAATAATACGACACGCCTCTAGTTGCATCTCCTCGTCGCTGGGCATGCGGCCGGTCTTGTCGAAGTGGTTCTGCATGAAGTACGCCAACTCAATCTTGATGAGCTCATAAGCGCTCCTGGGGCTCTCTGCCGGTGCGCCGCTGGCCTTGTACGGGTAGGGAGTGTTTCGTTCATTGTCAATGAGATCTATTTACCAGTTAGACGTCGGAAGCTGGTCTACGGGATATCTGAGGGGTCTCATACATGGCGGGATGGAGTTCTCGATCATTGAGAGCACCGGTGCTTCAAAACCCCAGTCACCCTTCCAGTCCGCCATGGTATTACCAGTCTTGAAATGCTCTGCCAGATGTTCAACACGAGAAGTCCAATTCGGGAGTACAACTCCGCAGAAACCGCAACGCGACCGAATCTCTGGCGTGGCAACCTTCCATGCTTTCATAGACCAATCCACAAACTTTACGTTGTGAACTAGGCGCAGATGCTGGTTGAGATGATCCTTCCGGTAGAAGGTGCGCTCTTCAAGAGTTCTTTCCTGGCATGCCGTGTGGTTGTGTGATTCGACGTGGGCACTGTCGGGATTGGCTTCGCCGCAGAAGACGCACGACAGCTGGTTCGTCTGCGGGTTGAGAGCCACAGGTCCGTCAGGGGCACATACCCATCTCTCCAATGACAAGTGGAGAGACTTTTCGTGCCGTTGCCAGTCGTGCTTTGTTCTGAACGTCTCGGTGCAGAATGTACACTGGAAAGTCTTGAGAGGGGTGGCCAGGGACGTCTTCGCGTCGGAGGGCTTGCCACCAGCGCGCCTCCTGCGACGCCTGCGGCCGCGGTTGAAGGACCCAAACGAACCAAAAGATCCGCGGGAGGCATGCGAATAGGCAGAGGCAAACGAGCCGCCCGACGAGTGTGAAGTGCCGACACTGCTCGCCGAGGAAGCATTGCACTGGGACCTACCCGACCCATCATCCGTGAAATTGAAGCTGTAAGGGCTGTTGAGGCCTAAGGATAGTCAGTACACGCAAAGGCCGAGATGTATGGTGGGTATGTATGTACCTGATGAAGAGGCCCCCGAGCTGGAAGCGACGGCGCGGGCGATAGCTGTGACGGTGGCAGGTTCGTTTTCGGGCGGAGAGTCCACCCAACGCTCCAGTGGGTTCATGCGGCTCGTTCTGCCATCCGGAGCGGGAGTGCCCCGTCTCTGTGGAATGTCGATGGGACCGGTCCAGCTGCTGCGGACGTGAGGTGATGTGGAGCGAGGTGCCTGTGTCTTGCCCCGACGCCGGGCGTTGGCAAGCCAGTTGGTGATCTGGGTCTTGTTGAGACCGGTCTGACGTTGGAGCATCTCTTTCTCTTCATCACTGGGGTAAGGATGACGAGTGTGCGTAGAGAGCCAATTTTTGAGAATCCGTACCGATTCCCTCGAGAAACGGGCGCCAATTTTGGCTGGAGTTGCCGACTTGTTAGGTACCGGCATGGCAGGTTCCTCTGAAGAGGTGCCCAGGCTCTTGAGTAAGTCTGGCGTCGATGAGCCCGGGATACTAACAGGCATTGCACCATCCTCCTGAGGGATGGCACTGGGATGGTCTCCCATGGTGGGCCAGGGGTTCTTGGGAAGATTGTCCATTTGGAACAAGTCAGGCTGGGTAGCAAAGCTGCACTCGTTTCGCAGAGCGACACAGGAAGTGCAGTAGTTTTTGTAGCGACCCTCTCGAATCTTTTTGCACTGGTAGCCTCCGAGGGTGCAGTTATCGCAGGGAAAGTCTGGGGCGACCCACCAATCTTCAAGCTGGTCGCACTGTTCCTTATCGAAGGTACAGTTGGTGTTGAAAGATTGGTGCATGTCGCTGGTCAGTTGTGCGTCCAGAGGGCTGAGGGTGTTGTTGTCCGAAGGCAGGGCACCCGGCGCATTCTCTGCCGAGAAGTGCTGAAGAGCGAAGAAGCCAAAGTCGTCGTCATCCACGTTCTCCAATACGAGATCCAGGTTGGGGTCGGTGGGCGAGACGTCCTGGGAGGGCATGTTGAATATGTCGCCCACCTCTGCGGCGGCCGCCTCCCAGTTGACGAACTCGTCCATGTCCTCGTGGATGGTTGTCATGATTAGGGAGCGCCCTTAATGAAGGGCGCGGTTGGTCGATCTGGATGACCTGCGGAAGGGCGTCGGTGTCATGGAGCGGCTCCTGCAGATGTAAGTCGGCAGGGCGTCGCGACCAAGAGCGTTGTCAATTGTCAAATGTCAACTGCCACAGAGCAAACGAAGCCCCGCCCAATTGTAAGACTGCCGGAGCAGACAAGATGATGGAATCGGAAGGCTAGTCCGGGTCTGGCGGCGTCTTGACAAATACAGTACAGGAGGAGGGGTCGGAGGCAAAGGAGGAATTGGTATAAAGATGAAGGATACAAAAAGACGGAGGAAAACTGGTTCCTGGCATCGAAATCTTTTATTCAAAGCCTCGCGCAGTTTCGCAGCAAAGACGAGGTCAAGCCAGCTGGACTTCCCGCGTCGATGGGTGTTCCCAAGTGGGAGTCACCAATGGCTGGGTTGGCTCGCCAGACCGGACCGGGGTCTGTATGGGTCGCGTGTGCATCAACTTGTCAAGAGTGCGCCCTTCGCTCGACAAGTCTACACCCTTTGGACGGGGACGCCCCCACCTTTACGTCTGCGCCGGGGGTGGTGGGTGCCTGTGCCGCTTGGACTTTTAGGTGCTAAGGTAAGGTAAGTAGCAGCCTCGAGTGTCCCTCCCTCCGTGCCTCCGTGCCTCCTTCACATCAGGTCCAGTTTGCGGAGGGAAGGAACTGCGGAGTCGACATCGGAGTCGTGGTTGGTGTAGGTAAGGTAGGTAGGTACCTAGGTGGCTGCAGATAGCCAACCTCGACGTCGGCCGCCTCGTACAGGCCTTTCTTTCATGGGCTGCAATTGAGTTGAAAATCAAGCGAATCCCAGCAGTGCCTCTTGTCGATGTACACACACTTGGACCATCATAAGCGCTTGGGGACTTTGGTGGTCATTCCTGCGCCTACCATAGTAGTCCGGCTCAAATCCCAGGGTCCTTTCTAGAAGTCTCAAGTCATTTCTAGGTTGGCAGCCAGCGCTGCACAGGACGAACTCAACATGCCAATGCAGCACAGAGGCTGCAGCTCGGTGGTCTGCCCCGCTACCTGGTTGGCGTGTCCAATGTAGGTAGGCTGCAACGCAGCCTGCCGTACCCTTGCTCATTCTGCTCGTTGATGGTTGATGGGCGTTCGAAATGCCCGTCTGACGGTGAGGCCGTCAGCACAATGACGGTTGAGCCAGGTCCTATGGCCAACCCTCGGTGTGCCTTTACCGAGCCTACATCGCTGCTGAGCGTCTTGAAGCCTTCGACCTGTGTAACGTGCATTATTAATAATTGACCCGCCTTCTGCAGCCATCCTCCCAGGACAGCACGTCTCCGGTCAATAGAAAAATTCGCCGCTAATTGTCTGTTGGAGGAAACAAGCGCGAAGCTTTTCTTCGGGGCGGCATCCGGTTCCCTACCCGCGCACCGCAACCACTGTCGAAAGGACGGCTTCGGCTTCGGGATAGAAGCACATGAAGATGGTCATTCCTTCCCTTCCCTCCCATGCGAGTCAAGGTTGGGGCCGAGGACTTGTGGCGCCATGTCGCGAAGACACAATTTTGTGTTCCTGGCGGAAAGACAACCGCCGGTGCCGCCTTTCTCCATACCAACATGGCCTGATTCTACGAACATTAGCCGGCATCGCGAACCATCCAAGTGCCCTGGAGAAGCGAAGATGACTCCTTCATCCCCATCGAGGCTTGAACCCGGTTCGGGTAGCGAGCTACTCTCCGCTCCGTACTCGTCTCGCCGCAGAGCCCCGCGACACACGCTGCGGTTTCTCCGCGCTCATCTGGGGGAGGCATGAATGACCATATTATGCCGACGACCGCATCCCGTCCCGCTGCTGACCGCCGTCTTAATGAAACCAGGTCATCTTCGGGCCCTGTCTCGGCCTGCGCTAACGTCGGATCACCCACTCGGGGGACCCCACCGCCGTGCCACACGCCTGAACAAAGCCCTTTTTGTCCTTGGCCTTTTCGCCGACTCTCAGCGAGGTCGGAGAGCCGTTGGATTCTGGTTGGCCCAGGTCTAACTTCACAAAGGCATTCAGCCGACAGTAATGGCTTGCGTCGCTCAGCCTCGGTTTGAAGTGGATAACCTCGAAACGCTGCGTCTGATCGGCCGCGGAGACGACGGTGCGAATTCCATGTTGCGCGGAATACAGAGCGACTCGACCTTGACTACATTTCATCTTGCTAGCCAGCATGCCAACGGCTTGTAAGCTGAGTGGCTGGCTGACGACCTGCCCATACTAAAAGAAGGACATCGACGAAGCAATTGGATCATGGTGGAAGGTGTTGCCGTCCCCAACCGTACTCTGTGCAGACCACTCTTTGGCATCTCCTGGCGCAGTTTCCTTACGACATCTCTGTCAACATCTCCGTCACATGCAAGCTCCAGAGAGGCCCCGGCCACGAACGACTGGAAGCGCACGACGCCTAGCTGTGTTTGCTGACTGCTGGGGAAGCCTATGCTGTGTGGCTCACGCCTGCATACTCAACGAGCAAACGAGCTAACGAGCTGGCTGGCGGTGATTCACTAACACAGACGCGCCATTCGAAGTCAAACCTGGTTGGACTGAATATCGTATGCCGCAAGAGGTGATGACGGACCGTTGCCGTTGACGTCGCTCTCGGAATCTCTTTCATTCTTCTGGTGGCACCGGTGTTATTGGCTGTCCTCGGCTTCATTCTGATCTCTGGCGCCCATTGGATGTCCTAGTCCTTTCCGCCGCTACGTCTGTCGTTGTCGTTTTCATCGGCATCATACCTCTGAGCTATTCCCGGACATTGAAAAGACAACGCCTGGCGCGGCATTCAAGGATTCACCATGGCGGCAGTCGTACGCTTTGGTTGTTCAATCCTTTTCATCATTAGCTTTTGTGGCGTGTCGTCTGTCTCCCACCGCCAGTTGAGTGTCTCGCCACCAATTGATAGTACACATGAAAATCGCAATGACAAGGAGGTATAGAATAAGAAGCCCCCGCGCGCTGACCGACCCCGAACGATACCCTAACCCCGGACGCAACCTGCTTCCCCGCCTCTTATCACGAGTTCAGGATGGCGGCGTGGCACTCAGTGCCGATGTTTGGCGTCTCGAGAGCCGTCCGGTTTTGAGGGCCCGGCTTGAGGTAGCAGTTGCCAGGCGCTTTGCCCTCCACCGCGCCTGATCTCGTCGTCCACAGAGGAATGAAGCTGACCCCTGCGCACGTCGCGTTGCCGTTGAAGCCGGCCTCGGATGAGCTAAAGGAAGCGCAGGCGTCCATGCAGTTGTTGAAGTTGGCGGTGAAGAGCGACATCAACGGGGCGTTAGGGGCGTTGGAGTTGCAGAACATGGTGAAAGTCACCTTGTTGAAGACTGCCATGCCTGTCAAAGGGGGGTCCTGCGAAACGTGTTCTCGGAATTGAACTTACAGTCCGTGGTGTACGTCTGTCCCGTCGTCGTCTCGTCCTTGTTGGAGCAATTGTTGGAGATGGAAGCGAACCCAGTAGCCGTCGCCGAAGCGCTCGCCGCCGTCACCGTAACCGTCGTAGATGGCTGTGTGCTAGCCGAAGCCTCGAGGGCCGCGAGCTTATCGAGTGCATCATTCGCCCGGTTCGCCTCCACGCCTGTTCCTGCTGCCAGACCGATGACGGCCGCGGCCAACACTGCGATGATGATGGAGAGGATGAAGACGAGGAACGTGCAGCCGCAGACGGTTTTCCTGCTCTTCTGCGGTGCGACAGACTCTCCAGGTGCATGATACGTCGAACGATGGTCCGCGGTGCCGCCATATACTGACGGATCAACTGCCGTTGACGCGTAGGCTCCTCCATAAGTCGAGTCCTCTCTCTTTATCGGCGTGACAACTTGCGGTTGGGGCGAGGTGGGATAGGACTGAGCAGGAGGATGGTACACCTCGGGATATGCTTGATGAGGTGCCACTTCGGGGCCTTCGTCATAATGCTGAGGAGTCGACATCTTAGTACGGACAGTCCACACGTCTTGGCTGAGGGTTGAAGACTTGAGGAAGCCAAAGGACAGAAGGAGATCGGCGACTCACCACTGGGGCCATTTTTATGTACTCCGCTCTACTCATATAGCCCGCTCGAAATACAGAAAGCAATACAAGAAAGGCGAGGCGGTGCTTGTTGGCTGAAAGGATTGGCAAGTTGTGGGACGGGAGACATGAAGCTAGACCAACGAGAAGAACCGAAGGAGCGGCGGATGGGAAGACATTAAAGCCCAAGCTGCAGTAAAATCTGACAACTTGGTGCCCTCCCTCACCCCCGGCGGTGTTACCCATCCTTCGGGCTGATGGTCAACTTAGTATGTGGACAATAAGGAGAGACAGTCGCTACGCCTAGCTTGCTACACTAGTCGAGGGGGCCAGTCCAGAGCGGGATCCAATCCATGATCGCCATCCATACACACACTCGGCGGGCGAAGTATTGCAGGGGGGCTGCGGGAACGGGGGCCGAGACCAGCAGCAGCATCCATATCACCTTGCAGGCGTAGGCAGGTTTGATATGCCGGCTGCCTGGCTGGCTCTTTACCGATGTTGTCTTAGACGAGCTGAGCCGGGGTTGGACAGGGTGAGAAAAAAAGCTTGGTTAAGATGAACGGGCTGGTCGTGCACGGCATGGTTTGTAAGGCCGGCGCTAAACATCCTTCTAATCTACGGTGGTACGGATATCGTCCGTGGTGAGATTTTGAATGGTAGAAGCCTGGGACGCGCTTCGTTAACGACTTAGCCGCGAAGTAGGCAAATACGTGAGCGAGTCGTCCCAAACCAGCCACAAAAGCTTGTCATGGTTGTGCAATATGCCACTGCCAGCGAGTGCATGTCTTGGCTGTTCAACGTGACCGTGATCGACCCTCCAGCTTCATGACGGAAATTGGTTTTGTTGCAGAATATCAACCGGCGATGCCTTGTCCTACGATGCCACACCGGAGACAGACCCCCCTGGACCAACCGTGGTGACGGGAAATGGCCAATGAAGAAGGGTCATAGTAG